AATTAACCATCCAGCAACACGTCGCTCCGCTTATTTTTTCTTCATTATTATTATTAAAATTTTTTTCCCGCGCACAGATGAGCTTTTCATTCAATTTAATGAAGTGTAGTCGGAAATTCCAGCTTGAACAAAAAAATGATCATCCCGGTTTTGCATTTTTTTCCTCGTCTCTGGAGATGTTTAATGCAAATCGTAATTTGCACCTCGTCATAATCCACTTTGAATACAATGCAGGCAAAAAAAGCAGAGCAAACTCTCTCATGCGTTTTCTCGGGACTAATTTGCACCGGCGGCTTATCTGGTCGCTGGTAATGACCCGCCATTACCAGCCTCCTCTCGCCGCGCGTTTAGCACAAAAAAAAGAGGAAGACGGCACGCGAATGCAGGAAGAATGAAGCACAACAATAACGAATGCATTTTAATTATGCACTCGTTTGAGGAGGACGTGTGAGTTCATCGAAAACTGTGTCGTTTCTCACCAAAATCGACACACAAACGTTTTATTACGGGCTAATGTTGGCGGCCTTGCCCCCGCTGCTTTTCTTTCTTATCTTTTTTTGCGAGATCACCAGAAGTTGATTACATGCCGGTGCGCAAAACTGTAATTATACGAGTTAAAAGCACATGATTTTGCGGTTTTCGTCGGCGCGTTAATTTCTCGCAGGCGTCAAGACAAATTAGCCGAGCCATTTGAATCGTGCCCAATTACACGCGCCTTGATCGCGATCTTTTCAGCCAAATTCATCCGTGTACCAAGTCGCTCACATCATATCGAACGGAATCTCACGCGTTTTGATTTACGGACACCGCAAACTTGAAATAATTCGAGCGAGGCGTGAGCCTATTTGTTTTGCCTGCTCTGGATGGCAGATTTTTTAATGCGAAAGGCATGACAAGAGCCACATCAAGTGTGACCGAACTTGATATTTATTTTTAAATTGAACCTTTTAAATGTAAATGTAATGTAAATTGGTTTTAAAATATAACAAAACAAGGTAAATATATAAATTTATTTTGTTTCTTAAAGAGTTGTTAATAATTTATTTAAGTGCGGTCATTTTATTTCATTTTTTTTTTTTTTTTTTACTTTTTAATTAGACAGTGTGAGATTTAATATTTTTTTGTATAAACTATCGAGAATTATCAATTAAGGTAGAATTAAATTACCTGCGCAATGTAAAATTTTATGGGGATCATGGGGATATTCCCATGCAAAGTCAGACAAATCAGTATGTGTCAGAAATCCCCATAATCTAGCTTAGCATGTGAGTATATTAGCCATTTTTTTAAGGGGGAGAGTTTATGAGTTTTTAAATTTATTTAAGTTTCATAGAGTTCATATCTTATATTTGAAATCAGACTCTAATGTAACTGCATTTTAATTACAGTTACAAATTAAATTAACCGAAATTAAAAAGTCTAATAAAATTATAACTATTTGCATAATGAACATATTTTTAGCTCTGCATTAACTCTCATAAAGCAAAGATGGAGCCATCAACATTTTTGCCATGTTCAAGTCATCTGCTTTAATTAAGGAAGTGTACATATTTTGACAAGAAGAACTGCTCTTAGCTTTTTGAGCTTTAAGAATCTCCCACGGCGCTAATTGAAATTTCCAGGTCATGCCATGGTATAAAGTGTAGCCATATAATTGTGCACCTGAAAGTACACACCGAAATTACTTGAAACCACCGGGGTTTACATGACGAACAATCGTAATTGCTCACTCACTCACAAAATAAGCAACGGTCACCCGAGAAAAAATGTAAAGTCCGCAAAAAAGAGTCATGCACTTCAAGATATTAAAATGAATGGTGCGTGTCGCTTTTCAGGCAAACAACAGTGGAAATTCCCACGCATTATTTTTCTTCCGAAATTCATATCTGATCAAACTGCACCGGTTAGATGTGCTCTATGATTTCTTGTTTGTCTTTTGAGACTTACCGCTGCCTAAAAATAGTAGACGAAAGATACAAAAGACGTGCATCAACCGTGCCAATGTGGGCCAAAGCCTCGAAAGGCGTTCATCTCTCGGCCTTGTCGCGCGCTACACTGATATCATTCCTTCACCTGCGTGTTTTTTCGCGCCAGAAGCGAATGGGTTTTTATTCAGGTAGTAAAAAAGAAGTAAAAAATATTGGAAATTCCAAAGTGAATCGGATCAGTTATTATAGCATTCTAAAAATTTAGTTTCTAAATCTTGTCTTAAAATAATGACGAAAAGAGGAGCTTAAAATAGTAAAATTTATTTTTTAAACTAATTGAAACATCTATTTATATTTGAAGATAAAACTAGGATATCAATATTTTATACTAAAAAACTAAAAATGAGGTAGAAAAATAATTTAATCATTAAAGAAAAGCCTTGTTTACCAATTAATTGATATGATTTTTGTATCATTTACTAATTTTGATAACTCGTCTCTTCACCTCTCCACTAATTTGATCTAAACCAGTTCCACGCGACGTGCTCTCAACAGCAACTCATTTGTCAGAAATGTCAAAAGAGAGACGAGGTAATAAGATCCCTCAATAAAACAACAGCTCGAAGATAAATCAATAGGTGAGTTCTGGAGTTCAAATTGGGGTCACTGAGCTGCGATTTCATCCAGATATATCAATTTATGTAATAAACTTCTTACATGCTTTGCAACTTAATTGAAGTTTCGTACTGCATATTCATACGAATTGCGGTCGGCCAGCATCGTTATAATATATTCAAAAATTTGTTTGATCAAATCGCGATAGTTTCAAACCTTCCGGCGAGCGGTCTGGGTAAAAACCTGATATTTTATATGGACCTGTCTAAGTACATAAATATATATTCATTTTTCACATACTTAATCCGACGCCGTTCCCAGCGTTGTGCGTGCATGACTTTTACACGCCGTACTCTACTTTTAATTTCTTTCTCTCCGAGCGCAAAGTTAGTTTTTATAGGACAGTTTCATTAGCGATTCACGTCCGCCCGTTTTACTGTGAGAAACAACCTGCAAGAAAGAAGCGCCGTGAATAAAACAAGAGCTTCTGCGTTTTCGCCAACAAAGTTCCACGGCGTGAAAAAATGTGACATTTTCTCTGTTTTGCGAATGCGAACCTTGTGTGTGATTTACGTGTGAGACAAAAAAAAAATGCGCCGTCGACATGAAAACGCTCCTTTGTTATTTTTTTATGACGGGCTCTTTTTGAAAAATGGAAATTCTTTAATAAAATATAAGGCACGAACTAGGCGTGTTTTTGTGGCAAAATATGCGCTATCTAGGAGCAGCAGATTGTGCTGATTTTGGGTAATTCCTAAAAAATTTAGGCAAATGTTATGAATACAAATTTAACAAATTATAATAATGATAAAGCTAAAAAAAGGGCCAACCTGCTTGGAGCTTTTCGCCAAAACTATAAATTAAAATGAATTAAAAACAGAAAGATAATGTGATGTCTGGAATCATAAGATTTTTATGATTTCTATCTTTTAATGAGTAAAATTTATTCCTCTAATAAATAAAGAAGTGGAAAAAGTATCAAAAAATCAAAAGGAATAGTTGAAATTTATGGAAAATTTCCTCACTTTTAAAGTACTGCATCCTGCTTTTGTAGTTGTTTTAAATAAGGTAAAAGAAAAATGTATAAAATTGTGTTTTTTTTTTCTCTAATTTTTATCGCTAATAATTAGGAAAGTAGAGCGATTCGTGTAAAAAAGCAAATGGCACAGTCGGTGCAAAAATCGCTTTTCATCAATTAAATAAAAGACTTTAGCAGCATCTGTCAATCGCTCATTCAGATGCGGTGATTGGCTCTGCCAAACGGCACTTTGAAACACTTCTGCTTCTTCTTCTTCTTTTTTCGCCTACAAAACCCTTGGTCCTGCAGGGGTAAAAAATAATCGGCGCGATCTCCCGCAGTCGCGAGTGTCCCGGTCGGAATTGTGTCCGCGCCGGCGAAACAAAGCCGCCCTAATGAAGACGCATCATTCTGCGAATGATAAATTGCACGCGCCATCTGTGGCCTAATGAAACGCCCCGCTGAGCAACATCTGCCCAACAAAGGTGCGCATTGTTGGCGCCGATTGTTGCCGGCGTCGTCAGGCTCGCGTGCTTTTTTCTCGCCGAGCCACTTGAGCTTGAAAATAAAAAAAGGAATTCTTTTTGCGGCCGTTTCTACTCTGAATCACACATTGGCCTCCAAAGTGCTCTGATGGTGCTTTACACAGAGCGTGGTTGACGAGAACAAAACCGGCGACGACTGATGCGCATCAAAGCACGCATCTTCTTTTTGGGCAAAATATAAAGAGGAGAGAAAAAGGAAAAATGCGGAGCAAATTGATTTTTTCTTTGATTTCAACGCCATTGATCTTAAAAGCTGTCGACATCGTTAATTGCCCCTGAACGACCTTAATAAGCCACCAACACGAATTGATGATTGGAGCATTAAATTCTTCTTTTCATTTTAAACCTTAATTTCTATATTGTCGGAAAAAATATGAAATTAAAGATTGCAAATTAAATACAAAAATAGATTATTTTTAAAAAGTCTTAAATTATTTTGAAATTGACATAAAATGCCTTAATCTCTAATTTAATGATTTAATTTTGTTTTTAGTTAGAATCAAACTTAACGTCAGGCAAGATTGATCGATTAATTTCAAGCCACAAGCTGTTGGTCAAACAACTTAATCGAAACACAATCAGATCGTTCGATCTTTTGGCCCTCTTTGTTCCGGGCTATTTCTTTGTCATGACCTGAGGCGACAACCGTTTTTTCGATTACACACGCTACAGAGCTTATCCCGTCGATAATTTCTCCAATTAAGCTGACGTTGTCTGCAACGGTGACGTTAATTGTCGTGCAAAGCCAAGCTTCGTCTCAATCAAAATTTGACGACGTCATTATAGTCTTAGTTTTTATTTTAAAAATTTGCTCTCTTTCAAATATAATATGGATACATATACATTTTTTTTAAATAAATAAATCAAACTAAATTTAATTTAATTTTGTTTCAGATTCAAGGCGAGCCTGGTGATCCCGTGTCGTTGGCGCAACCCACTCGGTACCACTACTACCCCCATAATCAGCATGTCTACTTGTTACCCGAGTGCGCAATTCAACAGGTTGGAAATATTATTATTATAAATGTCGAATGAATGTTTCTTAAAAGTCGTTTAAATAGCCTTGAGATTTTCAATTTTTAATAAAATAAAAATTATTTTATATGTAATCATTGAGATTTAAATTTCAAATATATTTTCAACTTTTCTTATAGGTTTGTAACGCAGTCTACGTGCGTCTGAATTACACGCAGCCTCTCTGTGCTTGTCCGACCGGACACAGAGACCCTTGCTCGGCCAGTCTCAGGTCTGATGATCTTCACACAACGGAACTTATCACGGATAAACGCCTCGGAAAGGTAAGAATCATTGGAAAATAATAAGGAAAAAATCCCTAAAATCTGAAATTTGCAGCCACTGACTTTGGTGAAGACTTGCGAGCCTGTGGCCGAAATGAGGGAATGCAGAGCGCCAAGGGACTGGTCGCTTTTGGCCTTGCAAAACGTTAGAACTGGAAAGTCGCACTACTTGGTCATTTGCAGATGTCCAGGAGATAATGCACTAGGTAAAATTCAACCATTAAATTAATGTAAAAAAAAAAATTATAAGCAATATTATCCCTCATTTTTTTAATCAATTTTTTTCTTTTTTCAAAATTACCAAAAAAATTTGCTATTTTTTGCAGAGGGCCCCATGAGTCATGATCAACCAACATACGCGAGTGTGCCTGGCATAAGAGTTTTTGGAATGATGTGCGTCCGGCAAACAGTAACCAAATTCAGAGCAGCCCGACCCCTTCGAGTACGGCGGGAACTTTTGGGTACAAAATTTGGAATTTAAATTAACTTGAAAAAAAAATTATAAAATTAATTAATTTTCAGGGCCGAAACCATTGCTGCCCTGGCACAAAGTTCGGCAAGTGGCAGACAGGCTGGGCTGGAGCCGCCGATGATGGTCGTCAGCCGTTGGGTTATGGACTGGGTTTGGACTGACTGACAGTCTTTTACTGGTGTTGTTTTTCCCCTCCCTCCTATCGTGTAGATACAAAGTTTGTTCGAGTAACTCATACCCTCCCTAAATTATTGCCTAGTTGATAATTTTATTTAATAATGTTTAGTTAACTTGTTAATTTAATTCATAATTAATGCGATTGATTGCTGATAAATTATACAAGTTGCCTGCCAGCGTTTTTGTGACTGTCGATGCGAGAAACTGTTGTTGAGCAAATGTAAATAACAAATTAATAATAATTTTAGTGAAAAATATCCATTTGAGGAGTCGAAGTTTGATTATGTCGATTTGAGATTTCCGAGTTTTATTTCCCTCCATAATTTGCGTAGAAAATTCCGATCAAGAAACTCTGGTTGCAGTTGAAAAGGGACTTAATTACAGTTCGTAGCAAATAAATTGTGTTTTACAATACATAATTATTTGAATTGATATCTTCATTAGTTATTTAGTTTGATTTGCAGTAATTTTATGGTTTTTGGTTTTACTTCACAAACCAACCGATTCCTGAACTATCCATAAATTAAAAAAAAAAATTGTTGTACTCACCAAGGATGTCTGCATTGGCCAAAATGTTGCAAGTGTACATGGCCAGCATCAGGCGTTGAGGTTGAGCTTGAAAGGCCTTGCGACAGGCTTCCTTCACAGCAGACATAAGTTGCCCAGTTACAACTTCACCTCTAAAATAAATAAAAATAAATCAAGATTTTGCTAAAAAAAAATTGCTCATGCATTGAATTTTTAAAATATAAAAAGCAATAATCAATAAATAAAATTTAAAATACTGTTGTAAAAAAATTTCAATTCAAGTTGTTACTCTTGCAAACAATTGAAAATTATAACATACTCTTCAATGAATTCCTGGACAACAAAGCAGATGCCCATCATTGGTTCCTCGCACAGTGGACCAGCCAATGTAGCTAACTGGAACCCATTCACAAAGCTGCCTCCATTTGGGCCTTCTTCCGTCCAAATGCTGCCAGGATGGCCCTCGATGCGATTAAGCAGAATGTTCGGGCCACACCTGCGCGGTCCAAACGTCCAAATCCTGTCGACTGTGTCTTCAGGCCAGTTTTCACTTGCAAAAGCTTTTTTAAGTTGGTCTTTGACCTTAGAGGGGTCTTGGCGTAATTGCTGGCGGTTGTTTTCCAGCAAGGTGGCCACCTCGGAAGGTAGTGCTACTGCCAAAACTTTTAAATAGGCTTGTCTGTTTGATGTCCACACCTCCACTGCATTTTCCCCAATCTGAAATTTAATATGAAAATATTATTGAATAAATATTTAATTAAGAAAAATAAAAAATACCTTGGTTGTATCAATAATCGCTTCGTTGACCATGTCCATTTTCGGTGGGTCAATTATCGTCTCTCGAAACTGGACAATAGGTTCAGACACATTCATCTCGATTTTAGCATATCTACAAGAGAAAAATGCATTGTTTTATAAATTTCAATTTAAATCAAATTTAAAAAGATTTATAATAATTTGAGGTAATTTTCATGTTCATCTTAAAAATTACCTGGTTTTGAGGTCATCGATGCACCTCTGAAGATGAACCTCTCCGACAGTGACAATCACATGCTCTCCTGACTCTTGCACTAGCACCTGGACACAGGCATCTGCCTGGTTGAGGAGTTTTAGTCCTCGCAACAGCTGAGGCATTTGCTGCGGATGTCGAGGTTCAACAGCCACTCGGAGAATCGGTTCTGCTGCCTGCTGTAGCTCGGTGAACGCTGGGCAAGCAACTGTGCTGGCCAAAGTGGCGCTCTTCAGCACCTGCTCCTCTAAACCTCCGATGCCGAGGACATTTCCAGCAGGAACAAAGTCTACAGCCTCTAAGTCGCGGCCCATTAGGATGTAAAGCTGTCGGACTTCCACAGGGTGGATGTGAGGGCCAAGTTCCTCTCCTGCGTTAAGCTGATTTTTTTATGAAGAAATTAATAAGAAGTATAGATGAATGGTTATTACTTTTTTAATTGCTTCTTGGGGGTCATGCTTTGGGTTGAGAACATACAGGGACTGTCCAATTTTGACAGTGCCACTAAATACACGAGCAAAAGCAACAAAAACCAGATCATCTCCAGGCATCTCTTCCATCTGTTCCTCTTCCTTTTTGGGATCTGGTGGTCTTTCTGAAATACATAAATATTAAATTAAAATCTTTTCCCTAATTGGAACCTATTGCGGGAAAACCAAAGAAAATTTAAAATAATGATATGAAAACTTGGAAAAAAAACTTTAAAAACGAATCTAGGCTAAAGAGTGCTTAAGTCCGTAGCCTCCGATACTCTCTAGCTCTTGCAAATTCGGAACTATACTTAATTGTATTTCGAATGAGTTCTTCAATTTTTAATTTCATAATTTTAAATTTTCCTACAATTATTTACATTCATTACAAGCTAATCTTTTTATAAACTAATAATTACCGTCCAATGAAGTGCAGTGCATGCCAGCCTCTGCCTGGGCCATCATTTGAGCATGTTTTTCTCTTGCTAGCAGTTTCCTCCGAGCAATTTCCTCGGCTGTGAGAGGCTTGGGCTTATTTTCAGGCAATGTACTCTTATCAACCTGTACTCAAAGATAAAAGATTTATTAATCCTTACTCTACCTCAAAGTATCTCAAGAAAATATGAAACAGTTATTTAATAATCTTACTGGAATCATTTTTGAAATATACAAAATAACAGGAGCCTCGTCTGTTGACTTGCAATCCAGAAAATCCTTTTTCAGGGATTTGCTTTCTTCAGGTAAGCACTCGAAGGTGTGGTGTTGAGAGCTCATTAGCCCAACGGCTCGAGCATCACTTAATTCCGCAGGAGACGGAACTTGTTTACAAATCATTTCTACAGTCCAGAGTTTAAAATTTAAAATTAACAGCTATTTGTTTTAATACAAATTACCTAAAACAGCCGAAGCAAGAGGCATCCACTGAGCTAACAGGGCTCTTATTTGCACTTTCGGATCTGGATGTCTTGCGTCTCTGGCACTCATTTTGACACCAAGCTTTTCAGCCATAGTTTTGATCTTCTCTTTATCTCTGGATTCATACACAGCCCACAGATTTTCTAAAACCAGCTGTACAAACAACGGCTTCTTTGCTTTTTCTTGAGCACCGGTAGCAATTTTTCCTCCTTTGAGATAAAAATCTCCCCAGAGACATTTTGCTAGTTCATCCTGGAGCAAAAATTTGGATTACAAATAAATAAAAATTTCAAATGGGCACAATACTTTATCTAGATTCAGCTTTGCTGAGAAGAGGCCAGCAAAATGGGCAACGTCGAAAGCCCATCCATCAACAGCACTGGCAAACACAACATTTCCCTGCTCTGGACTAAAATACAGTTGAGAATCATCTGCCTCGTCCAAGCCAGACGTCCAAGTGTCCGTGGTGTTAGAGATCGCTTCTGAAGCAAAAAGCTCACCCATGACAGCATTAATCTTTAACAAAAGAGAAACAGATTAAAATTCAATCCACCGATATATTTCAATTTCTCTTACTTGCTCGAGAACTTGAGTCAAGTGGACATAAGCGTCCAGCGGTTGAAGCTTCATCTCGGAAACAAGTCTGTCAACTTTGTTTAGAACCAGGACAGGCTTAAGGTTTTCGGTCCACGCCTGCTGGATACAAACTTTGGTTTGAGGGCAAACGCCTTCGACAACATCGACTACTACGATGGCACCGTCACAGAGTCGGACAGCTGTGGACACTTCACTGGAAAAGTCCACATGTCCCGGAGAGTCAATCACGTTGATCAAAACATCCTCACCACCTGAGTAATAATTTTTGCATTGATTAAGGTAAATGTGTATTTTCTTAATCGTTTTCATACCAAAATTGTATTTCAAAGCAATGGCACTGCTCTTCATGGTGATTCCTCGTTGCTGCTCGTCCGGTCGACTGTCCATGTACCTGCATGGCATTATCTTATTAGATTAAAAAAAAAATCTATACGGATAATATATCCTCATTTTACCTGAGTTTACCGGCCATCGCAGTCGAGATGATTCCATTGCTGGCGACCAACGAGTCGACGAGGCTCGTCTTGCCGTGGTCGACGTGAGCCAAAACGCACACGTTTCGGACACATCGCGGCTTCTGCTGCAAGTTTTGCAGCTGCTCCACGGTCGTAGTCCGCATGTTGCCTCCGTCAGTCAGTCCCGAAATTCACAAAGTTTAAAATTAACGACGGTCGTTGTGATCCTCCTGCTCAACACATGTGTTTGTTTGTTTTGGTTTTGGTTGCCGGTTATTCTGATTGGTCGCTGAACAGAAGAAGCAGCGCTGATTGGCTGATGTTTGAAAAGGTGCGGCTGAAAGGCATTCAATAGAGGCCACCTGTTAATACAATTTCTGTTAAAGTCAGTTTTAAAATTATTGTATAATTATTTTTTAGCTCATATAAAATGATAAATTATATTTTGATGTTTTAGAAAGCGTGAAAATTTTTCGTAATAGTGTTGCTAAACTTATAAAATAATTTTTATTATTTAAAATAATGAAAAATTGAAACCGGGGGAACCACTAACTAGTAGTGCGGCAGATTACTGTGATTTTGCCAGAAAAATCTTTGGGTTCATTGCCCTGGAAATTTGTGCCAAAATCACAGCATGAAGCTGTTGACTGACTCCTTTGCTGAATTAATTTCTGCAATTTTTGATTATTAAAATTCAATTCTCCCTATTTAATTTTTTATTTTTTATTACTTCCTCCCACTTAGTTTTTGTTGGGACACGAAAAAACCCTAGGTTTTAAAGTACCAGCAGACCGCAGTTATCCTTTATTTATTCCAATTTATTCATTTTTTCTTTGTAACGAGGTCAGCCCGGTTTCAGTTTTTCATGAAATCCACCTCGAGTGTAAACATTCAATTTAATAATGAAAAAAATGTAAATTTAATCACAATAATTTTAGTTTCATTACATGACTTATTATTTCTCAACTCTCTAAAACATACTCGATCTCACTAATATATATATATTTTAAATTATTGTTGATGTACATTCATTATCAAGTGGCTATTCTCGGCTGTATAATTTTAATTTAATTCCCGGATACCCCCCAGAGATATTTACAGCACTGGGCAGGCGCCTTTAAAATTCAATTCCGAATGCGCTGAAACAATAATTTTAGGAAAAATATATCGAGTATCATATGAACAAATTTAATTTTTGATTTTTACCCAGATACCTTAACCACAGTATGGTTTTATCCTAAAAAAATGTGGAACATTTACATCTAAAAAGCAAAAAATCTATTGTTTATATAGAGCAAGAGAAGACCGCTCTATTTGCAAAAACTTAAGATGAAAGCATGTTTTCTAATTGAAATAAATTTAGAAGTGGACAAACTTGTACATATTATTATCATTGACTTCCTGTGTCACACCACACATAGGAACAAAAAAATATTTAAAAGCGATTACAAATTTATTGCGTCATTGTGGTTTTATAATATTAAATTCAAATTTCAAAATGAAAAAAAGCTCACGAAGTTATTCCAGATGTAACTAGTGCGCAACTGTAACAAATTCCGTGTTCTCAAGGATATAAATTTAATTTTGCCATACTGCAGCAGGATCACAAGTTGCCTTTGCCTATAAAATTTTTCATAAAAACTGGGCGCACTTCAAAAGTCGAGCCCATGGCGTGGCTAAATTTATTTTTGACTTTCGGCTTACTGATAGCAGTAGTGGTCAGCGAGGATTGCGAAAGCTTTCAGCTGGAAGAGCCTTACTATCGCAGTGTGTGGAACGTCACCAATTGCATTAAAAAATGCACTAAAGGCAGGTGGAAAAATTAGTTGCTAAATTTTATAAATTATTTTGCTTCACTCTGGCAGAAGTAGCCGAGGCGTTCAATGCTAGCGTTATACCTCCTGGATATAAAATTAAGGCTGGAGAAGAAATAAAGGAGCACTTCATTTTTGATGAATTTTGTACCAATTTTGATTTTTTGAATACGTCTGATAGCTACAATGCACATGTTATACACACAGACGGAGGCTTAGAGTTTGAAAACTATATTAATCACTCATTTTATGACTATTGCCTCGTACTTGATAAGGTAAAGAAGTTTGGTTTTTTTTTAAAACATATTTTTTAATCTTAATTTTTCAGGACAATATCAGCCAATATCATATTTTGCAATGCAAGCTCATTGAGGATAACTCTTTGCGACGAATCATTTACACCGCATTAATTTTGGTGTCTGCACTATTCCTTTTGTTCACCTTAATTGCATTTTTAATGGCACCTGAGATGCAGAATTTGCATGGCAAGAACATAGCATGCCAGTCACTTACTTTGATGCTTGGTATGATTGGACTGGCACTTATCGGCTTTGGAAATTTTGAAAATCATGCAAATAAGACACTGTGCAAGATTACAGGTGATATATCTAGCACAATGAAATATTGTTGAAACTTTTTTTTACCATTTATTTTTTCTGATAAAAAATTTAAGATATAATTTTATATTGAATTTAACCTGACAAGTTATGTATTTATGATATGAGATATCCTGATTTTTTTTTTAATTTGGTGCGCAACTTCTTCTCCCCTTGCATACACAAACAAAGCTTTTGTTGATGCATTTCAATGGTTATTTAATGTAAATTAACATTCCATGGCAAAAATTAATAGCCGTTGCAGAATTCCAACCGGTAATGCACGTTGCATACCAACATATTTGCAACAAAATCGGCATAAATGTCTCATCTCAAAAACATTGTTGTGAGCGCAACAACATAAAAACCATTTTCTCTTCGCTTCAAGAATTATTCAGCCTCTTAATGAATTTAGTTTTTTCAGGATATTTGACGTATTTCTTTTTGATGAGCTCATTTTTCTGGCTGAACTCAATGTGCTTTGATATTTTCTGGACTTTTAGGTATTGATTTATTAATATAATATTAACTTTTCCATGATTCTGATAGACTAAAAAAAATTATGCACAGCAATTTCAAAAAAATGACTGGATCTCTACACGAAACAAACAATAGGAAATTAATCATGTACACAATTTACTGCACTTTGGGCCCACTGACGTTTTTTATACCGATGATGCTCTTTGACTTGACAATGAGAGACACAAGCAGTATCTTAAATCCCTCGATTGGTAGCGACTGGTGCTGGTTTAAACGTTAGAAATTTAATTAAAAAAAAAAAAAAAAAAATACTTGCAACTGATAATGCTTTTTTAAGACGATGAAACCTCAAAATCAGAAGTGCTTTTTTTTCAAGGACCAGTACTGATTTTACAAGTCGGAAATATCATCTTCTTCAGTGTTGCATTCGTTAAAATAGTTTTCTTCAATAGACGTGGTACGCGAACTCTCAGTAGAACCAACAGCCGGCGCCACGCAGGAAACGATGACCGACAGAGGTAGAGCTTTTCAAGTTTACTATTTTCATAGTATTATAAGATTAAGAATAAAATGTCTTATTGTTAGATTGTTTCTATACTTCAAACTTTTTCTGCTGATGGGAGGTACGTGGATAATGGAGTGCATCTCATGGTGGTGTCGCTTGGACAACTGGTTTTGGACTACCTTCGACATCATCAATTGTTGCAGGGGCGTTCTGATTTTCATTTTAACCGTTGCAACAAATCAGAGAGTCCGTAATTCAATTCTGCGCAGACATTTCCCTAGATTCGTAAGCCAAATACCACAGAAAACAATTGGTTCCAACGTTTCTGGCATGTCTACTTTAAGTGATGACCATAAAAAGCAAAAAACAACTGCATTGTAAAGATTTCCATTGAATATTACTTTTAACCCTTTTTTAAAATTTAAAAAGTCAGAGTTTTTATTATTAATATAACTTTCTAAGTCCAAGCAGGCATGACTTTTTAAGAAAACGCACATTATAATAACCTTTGTTCTATTAAAGCTTTTTGCATTTTTAATTACTTTTTTTATCAAAATGCTTTCCAAACTTTTAATGTATATTTTGCTTAAATTCTCTGAAACATTATCCACTCTGAAATTTCATTTAAAGTTATATTATTGATCCACTAAAAATCAAGTCTTTTTTTAAATATATAATTAATAATTACTTTACATTTACGCATAAGAGAGTATAATTATGTTTCTAAAAAAAAAATATTTATGTGACAAATCAATTTAAGAAAAAAATATGATTCATACAAAATTGAATGTAATCAAACAAAAGTATTGCATATTTGTTTGTTATCAATGACAGTGGTGAATAATAAATCTAGTAAAAATCTATGAATATGAAATTATTATTCTTTCTAGTATTATTTTAGCTTCTCTGATTGTAATAAATTCAGGCTCTGGCGTATTAAAAAAATTCATCCAAAGTAAAGTCGAGAATGAAAAAATTATTTATACTTTTGAAAATTACTTTATATAGGATCTAATGTAACGCAATGTCCAAAGAATTTTTATGTATTGATTTTTAGCCCGCCAAGAGCCAATGATTTGCAAGTTGCATATCATATCAATTAAGCAGATTATTTCAAATGGCCCTCTTGATTGACTCGAAAGTCTATTCAAAATACAGGTCGAACTTAATAATTAGTTGGTTATAAATTTGGAAAACAAACCCATTAATTATTGACAAAAAAAAAAACGTATTTCTGGAAATAGTTTGCAGATGAAATTTAACAATCTGCAGTGGAAGACCCTCTGCAAATGCTTTCACATTAAGAGATTGGGCAATAAAATGATATTTATTTCTAGAGTATATATAAATTTTTCATAATTTAATTAAAAAAGTTTGTGATAAAATAGAACTTATCTTGGCCAGTAGGGAAAAACCAGTGTGATATGCGTGATAAAAGAGCAGGAATAACCAGCAAGTAGAAACAAGGAAGTAAAATATTTCAATATATATTTTATTTTACAGATAAAAAGTAGTCATAATAAATTTGAAATGGCGTTTGCCACATGGCTACGCCCTGTGTGGATAATTTTCTTGGTTTTAATTCAAACCATATTGGCTGATCCGATTTGTCCAGAAGATGCGGAACCGATAACATTTTCTCAATCTGCGGTCAGACTTGCAGGTGAAAATCTGATCTACAATGATACATTACGGTTTATAAATACCACATTTTGGCGTCATGGTGAAAATTACACTGCATGTCTGTGCTCAAATAACGTCCCCTGCGGTAAGTTCAATATTTATTTTTTTATTTTTGTACGATTGAACATTATAATTGTTAATTTTGATTAAATTTAATTAGATTTTGTGAACGAGTCTGAAAATTTTACAACGCTGCAGCAACAAAATTCAACTGATTCAAACAACGAAGATAAGACCGCAACTCAACAGACTATTGCTAATGCAGAAGACAAAGAAGTCAATGGATCCGGGGATGAAAAACAAAAAGAGATCACCTCAAATTCTGAGAGAGAAAGAGATGGGGCTACTGATGGAGTAGAAACGCGAACCTCGATTTCAACTACAGAAATTTCCATTGAGGCACAGACAGCAAAAGTATTAGCAGTAACAACCGAAGATATTAATCATGAATATGAATATGGTGGGGAAACAATCACGGAAGAGCCAAAAACCACGACGAAGCAAAAAACCACTACACAGGCACAAAAAATTAAAACAGTTGCTGCAGGTGCAACTTTATCTAGCCTAGAGAAAATTAACGGACCTGTGTCAAAAGTTGGCTATTTCTTATCATTTACATGTCTCTTTTCCTTGGTGTATACCTACGCCACCATCAGGAAAATTAAAAATTATCACGGACAGTGCATCTTCCTTCTCTGCGTTTCTTTATTGGTGCAGTACACTGCAATGCTCGTGACCGGATTAGTAGACTCGCCAAATGGGTTTATTTGCACTGTTTTTGGTACGTCTAAAAAGTATATTACAACTGTAGTTTTATTTTTTTATGTCACATTTATATTTTCTTTCTAAGCGGCAAATCGACAGAAAAAATCGAATAAATCGATAATAATTAAAGCTATGAAAATCCTTAAATTTTTGTTTCAGGCTTGATTTCATACTACTTCAGTCTTGCTGCGTTTTTCTGGCTCAGTGCAAAGAGTCTGGAATGCTTCATGGTGCTGGGGTAATCATATTAAATTTAATAGTTAAAAATAAAAATACTTTGTTATTTGTAAATCGATTTCCAGCCTCAATTCACCTACTTTCAGGGCAATACCAATAACGACGAAGCAAAAATATTTATCAGTAGTTTGCTGGCTATGCCCTGCTTTGATGACTTTAATAGTTGCAATACTGACAGGTCAAGAAGGTGTTCTATCAACGGGAATCGCGAATAGCTGCGTTATTACACGAACAGGAGAGGGTAAGTGAACCATTTAAATTAATTCTCAATTTTTTTTTTAATTCTGCTACCTTTAGGAGCGATTCTCTACTACCTGGGGCCTGTTCTTCTTTTGATGCTTGGAAATTCGGCCTGTTTCGTATTGTCACTTTGCAATATAAAGAATCGTGATAGACGTACGTTAAGAGTAGCAAAGGAAATACGGAGGCAAGTAGTTTAATTGCGCGATGTCTGCTTCAGCAATTTTTTAATGCCAACAATTTATTATAGGTTCACCATTTATTCGAAATTATTCATCGGCCTAGGAATTTTCTGGCTGTTAGAGTTTATCGCCTGGGTCTGCAAAGGAAACGAAACACTCGTCAGCACTTCCCTCATAGTGAACTCCTTTAAGGGTGTTATGGTGTTGATTTTCTGCATTTTCACGGACCAACGGGCGCGTCGTACGTTTAACCAAATTGCACGAAAACCCAGAAATTCGTTGGAAGTTGTAAGTGACAATGATACAGATGATGTCGAAAACGCTTGTGAGTTCAAGAATATGAAAATGATGAAGACAATTCCAGAAGAGCAGGAAGATAATGGTGTCGCTCTGATAACGCAGAGGAATCACACATCGAGCCACGATTTGATAAGCATCCCTGACGACGACGATAATAATGAAGCTGAAATGAACCATGAATCAAATGAAGCCACTGAAGCAAGGCAGTTGCTAGAAAATACAGAAAAGCAGGAAGAAGAGGACTTGCCACAGAAGTCGTCAATGGAAAATGTGAATTCTGGTCCCGACAATGCCGATGAGAAGAAGCTGGAGAAAGAAGCAGATCCACCGCCACCAGATCAGGAAGAGCCTGAAATTGAGGCACATGACGAGACAAAGAACGTCTCTGAAGAAAAAAAGCCTGAAGAAGGTGAACAAGAGAATACCATAAATGAAGTAGGGAAAACAACTGGTCAGGAAGGTGACGTTCCGAAGGTCAATGGTGATTCAGGTGATGTCCTGACGATACCAAATGTGGAAGCTGGATCAAAGGACGAAGGCGAAAAGGTTGAAGAATCTTTGGAAGATAAAGTTACTGAATTATAACATGGAGGAATTATTATAATTTAGCGATTAGTTTATAGAGCTTTAGAAATTAACAATATTGTTGTTTTCAATTTTTCTTTTTTAATAATTAGTTGCTTTTGAATTGTCACGTATTAATTATATTGAATACATATTACCTCAATAATCACCTCAATATACATCTTTTTTTATTATACAGATTATTTGGGTCATTATTATAAGCACAATATTTAATAGAATATGCTATTTCAGTTGATATAATAAAATTGGAGTTATTTCAATTTATTAGTTTTTAGTTCAAGGATAAGGAAATAAATGTACCAAGATTGAAAATTTGCTGATAACAATGGCATTTCAAAAAACCTTGAACCCATGACCGCAGACGTAAAGTCTGGTTTGATTATTTGTATTGGAATTTTGAAAAAATTTCCTTGTTTCTATATATTTTTTGTGGTTCGCTTAAATATAATTTTGGTGAAATAAAAAATCTCTTCTTATATTGATCTGAAAATGAAACAACTAAGAAAAATATTTAATTCAAAATGCATCAAAAGGTTCGAATTCACATTTAAAAGCTGGCAAAATGTTGCAGAACTCAACAAAACCGGCGTTCTGCCTAAGAAAAATGCCGCTACGTTCACCAATGAACAGTATTTTTATAGCTAACAAAGTTGGTATTTGAAGGATAAAATTTTCTAAATATTGAATAAATAGCAAAATTTCACTTTCTTCTAAACTAGGGCACAGGATTTCTAAATTTTGTAGTGATTTGCAAACTCTCTGTTCGTGTGCCATGTAGGAGATATCCGAGTTGGCTAAACTACTACAGGAAAAAGTTTTTAAATTCGGTGCTTGGTGTAAGATAATTTGCACTATATCACTATCAGCCCTATCACTTAAACTGTAGCAATCGCTTCCGAAAAACGATAAACTCTCTAGTTCCAAAAATTGCAATTTGCATAAATTATGTCTTGAATTCGTCATAATAAGACGATAATTTCCATTATAACAAAAATATTTCAGCTTCGGACAAGTCGATAAAATTTTGACCATATCAAGAGTGGGCCCATCATCACTCCATTTAGAATAAGAAATAATCGTCAACGACGTCAAACCTTTTCCAAATCGGTCTAAAATTAGCTCAATTGCCAGCGGATGGAATTCTTCCAGTACAACTGACCTCACGTTTTTCAGCTTGAAAATTTTCTGCACGTTTTTGTTCATTTTAAATCTTGAAATCAAGTGCAACTCTTCCACCTCGACATCATTCGGCCAGTTTTCCGCACTTAAGTGATAGTCGAGCGTTACCCTATTTAATCTGTATGGACGTTCAGGCGACAGTGAGCTAAGTAAAGCGTCGTCCCAGTTGTCGGAGACGCGGTAGAGAACGTCCACAGTGCACTTCCGCAATTGAGGTAAACAGGAGAAAAATAGAACTTTTGCTCGGATTGCTTGCACTTTTATCTGCTCTTCTTCCTCGAATGAATGGGGGTATTGAAACTCAATTTTCAGGCTGAGGACCAGTCAAGTTTCCTAAATGGATCAAAGGAAAGTGGCTGTTTTTGTCCAAGAAATGCCTCACCACAACGAGATGCATGGACCTTAGGGGAAAAAATCATTTTTACTATTAAATGTTTTGAAGTACAATTTTACGATTAGGGGTTAAATTCAAATCACCAACTATTTAAATATTACTAAAATGGAGTTGACTCACTATTATTAAAAAAAAAGGAAATTTTTCAAAGAAATCTTAATTTAAATTTGTTACAGTTAATTAATATTTTGAATAAAATAGGACTTGTATAAAAATTATGGGAAAAAATAATGAATTATGTTTACTTCAAACGCGGAAATGTTTTGCAAATCTGCAGGACATCTGTTGCGTTGAGTGCAAATCCAAATTCGCCAATGTGCGTGAGACGCTTCATTTTTAGCACATCATTGAAAACGTCCCGACCGGAAAAATTCTCCGGCAGTTTCACTCTCTGGATTTGGGAACAGTTCTCTCTAATATGTCGCCAAACAACGTCCCAGTGCTCTTCCGGCACTGACTGGAAGTCAAAATCGGTGGTTTGCTCGTTGAGCAACAGTCTCAAAAATTCGAGATCGAACGGCCTGCAGTGCGTCTCGCTAATTAACTTTTGCAGCAGCGGCGAGGCTGGAAATTTGGGCCATAAATTTCGTTTTTACGAGATCATCTCATCTCAACTTACGTAAAAGCCGAAAGCCATTAAGGGGCCGCGAATTGCAAAAGCGTGTCGTGTTTTTGAAGATACTTTCTGTACATTGGTTCAATAAGGACTGCACGCCCAGCAGGGTGTTGTGATGAATTTTGAGCCTCTCCATCACAGCCAAGTCAAACGTGATTGATGCCATTTCCATTTTACTTAAAATGCAAAACAAAAATATTGTAAATAATTATTAATTAATGGAATAAAAACGCTGATTAATTTGAAAAATGAATAATTTTATTAATAAAAATATGCAGAGGGTGATCTAAAAATGTACCTGGCCCTCAAGCCATCTGAAACCTTTGTTCTAATTTAATGTCACTTTACATAAAACCAGGTTATGCTTAAGAAATTTATGACAACTTAATAAATTCATGTCATCTATGGATAATGACGATATTGTAGAAATAATTGAACTCAAAAATAGTCAAGGGGAGACATACATACATGTGTCAGAAAATTGATATTTTTTCTATGATTGAAATAAATTTTATTTATCATTATCAAGAATTGCCCATTTAAAAAACAAAGGCATTTATTGAAAAAGGGTTATTTTTTAATAGTTACATTTTAAATTAAAATAAAGTCAATATTTAAAAAAACCGCAAGCTTAATAATTAATTTTGTTAAGAAAATTAGATAATTATATTATTTCTGCTTAAAATTAAGTTGTTTAATTATTATCAAATTATAAAAAAATAACCAAGCCTTTTTTTAAACATTTAAATATTAGATAGTTATATAATTTAATTTGATTGTTTAGCCTTTCTGTCACTTACATTTTGTTCCCTTGCTCAGCCTTCTTCAAACGCTATGCAGTGATTGAACATCTCTCAGCCCAAACGATGATTGCCGCAGAGGCCCCCGAAGTCGGACCACGGAAGTGACAAACCGTGAAGCCAAAAACTCTTGGGCAAGGGTTTGTTTGGTGACGTGCTTTGCAGCTGCAATGGCGCATGCAAAGTGCACGAGTTGCCGACCGTGTACTCGCTCAGAATGTAATTAGGTGGGCTGACTTTCTATTAATAAACGCGCCAACCCCGCCACAATGACGCTTTGGCAAAGCCGAGAGTCCTCAAAATACAGGAGGCGCCAGCAGTTGTAAATGTTTATTACTTGATTTCACGTTAAGTGTTTGTCTGTTATTCTTTGAAAAGCTATTTTTCATGAAAAAATTGCGTTGGGGAACTTTTGAATGAATCATTTTCTTGTCGTTAGCAATAATATTTTTTTAAAGCAAAAGCAACCCAATCAGATTTTTTCGAAAATTAATCATAAAATAATTTTTAAATACTGTATAAAAATCCTGCAGTTTCTTGAAAACTGAAATATAATGAATATCTATGCCTTTTCTTAATTTAAATAGGTAATAAATGTGGCTTTAATAGTTTCTGCTAATATAAGGGAAGGGCTAAATATCAATTAAACAGCTGAAATTTCGATCGTTTTAATGATTAACTTGTGTGGTGTCTTTTATTGAAAATCATGTTTGAGAAAATATACATAAAATATGTACAGCTTGCAATAGTTGTATGTACACGTACATGTAAAATTGATGCTTTGTCACTAAAAGAGTTGAACAACAATGAAAAGACAAACAAGAGACTCAACACAAATGGGGGAGTTGAAAAAAATTAGATCTACACCTTCATGACTTTGGCCAACACTGAAGTAAAAAGGTACAAAATTATGCGATTGGAAAATTTGAAATAAATTAATGCTATAGCAGGGGGTTCTTGTTAAAATCTCTACTTGCACTAGAAGTGTTCATTTTGCGTTAGTGTTGGTCTCAAAGTACCGAGTTATCAAATTCAAGGGATTAATTATAGAGTTAGAAGTTGATTTCGCTACGAGTGTTTGAAAGCATTTTTTACCAGCATTATTTTCGCTTACTTAGCACAAAGTTTCTCATCGTTTTTCTTTATATAAAACTACACTGGGTCCGCACCAGTAGGGCCTACCAATAAATATTTTATATACTTTTAGTAGTTAATAATATCCAAATAGCCGACGTGTGTTTCCGTGATATGATAAATGGTTACAACAATAGAACAATTGTTATTCTTACTTTAAACTTTACAAGACCTGGATTTTCTTTTATTTCTTGCGTGGTAATAAAGGTTGCGCGTTGAATTAAAAAGTATGATTGTTTACAGCAGCAAAACTTCTTTCTTCGGCATTCAAATTCAAGCCCAAGCGCATTGCGTACTCATATTATCTACTTTTAAACGTCAGCTTTTCTCTCTCAAATCTAAAATTGCTTATTACGAAAGCTCGCTTGATCTGCGCTTAAGCTGATTTGCTTCTTCTTATATCTTCGATACTCAATTTTGTTTTATTTAAATCCGGTCATTCTCTCTGCTTTCATTTGCTTTTCAGTACAAAATTATGGTCCTTCGATTTACGTTTAGAATCATGACTCTTATATATCATTCGCATGTGAAGACATTAAGATGAGTGAAATGACCGTGTGTGTGTGAGTGTGCTTGAGGAGAATTTTCTGTAATAATTTGAAACTTTAAATCGCAGAAGGCGATGGGAAATGGGAATCTTTCTGTATGTGCGAGTATATAAGCAGCAGAGAAATTATTTTGAATTCGATTAAAAATATTTTTGGAGAAGGCTTTATTTGATTAATGTTTTTTTTTCCTATTATAGATTTACACAAATCCAAACAGATTCAAGCACCAAGTATAGAAAAATATCCGTTCGTTGTGTTGGAAACCAGATATTTTTTACTTTCCGAATCCTCCTCGTTTTTTTATATTATAATTTGAGTAAATGTTGAAAAATTTTGTGTTATGATTTTTTAAAGCCTTCTTCGCATTTTTTTGTCATCATAAAATTAAGCGGACTGGCAGGCGTTTTCATCGGGCACACATATTGTATGTTATTGATCAACAACAAATGTATGATAAACTATTTACACGCTTTTTATTGCATCTCGATTTAATATTATTTCTAATATGTATACTTCCAACATTTTTCTTAGATTGATTCTACGAAATTAAATTAAACTGATACGATTTGAGATATTTAAATATATTATACTGATGAGAAAAGGCGTTTGTGCAAAAGGTTTATTACAAGCGAGATAATAGGATTTGAGAAAAGTGCTTTTCTAATTTCTTTTTATTCATACGGCTAGAAAATTCAAATTCACGCGACGAAAATGTTGTTCTCCTTCAAATCACTGGGTCGTGTGCAAGTTTTGAAAAGCCGCCCTCCGCATGTTTCATTTATCAAAAATTGCGATTTTCGCGCGCGCGTATCATCATGGGAATCCAGAAGGGAACATTTCTGTTCTCATCTCCTCTCTACATGTTAAATTAAAACTTTGTTACCCGCAATTATCACGTTAATTTTAAACACGGTGCAATCAAGTGCTCCATTTGAATAACAGTGTAAGTGTTTTTTTAGGTCTTGATTTTTTTTCTTCTTTTACATCTAATGACTGAATAATTATATTGAAAAAGGCCTCTAGCATTCGTCAGCAGTTTCTCCAAATTTATATCCCAGAGTAATTTTTTGCAACATAATTTCAAGATGAGAATTATTGTGAAAAGGTGCATCTAATAAAATTTGAATTCTGATGGAATAGAGCCGGAATGTTCAATGAGTGTGAAGAGAAGAAGTTATTGATTGATTTGAAAATTTTCAATAGAAAGCAGCAAAATATAAGGCATTACTTTGGTTGGTCAGCTGACAGAAGTGTCACATCGAAAGCAGGCAGTTTTGTTAGTACAGAGCTTTTTCCGAAATTGGTAAACACATATGAAGCACATTCATTTATCCATCACTTATGAACAGCAATTATAAACGTCTCATCAGTGCAAAATATTCGTACGGACAACAACAACTCACTTAGTAAGGTACGTGGTGCGTAAGTGCAAAATGGCTTAGAATATATTTTATTTTTTTCTTTCTATAATTTAAGAGTGGATTCGCAAATATTCACTTCAACAATATACATAAATTCATTTTTAATTTTATCAAGATTTTCTCCATGATTTTGCTAAAAAATTGTTATTTTTGTTCAATATTGTTTGCAAACAGCAGTGCACAATCTTTTTTTAATAGAATAAACATCAGAAGAATCATTTAAGGATCAACAAATCTGTAAATAGTTTTTCGAAGATACTTCCAGAGTATTATTATTTCGATCGAAAAAAAAATGAAATTCAAAAAGATAATCTTCTTGATTAATCTATAATCAATTCAATAAATATAACGCATCGGTTCACTGAGAGCGAGTAAAAAAGCTACTCATTACAAATTGTCTTTTGCTTTAAGAAGTCATTATCACAGTCCGAATGTAAAAAGACTAGTTCGAACAATTAATCAACGTAACAACACAACAAACATCATTTAATTTCATAATCTTATTACTTTCCATTTGAATTTACTATAATTATATATTATCTGCTTTAACCTTTTTACAATGCAATTTGTAATCTCCCATCCCGTCGGCTCAACATTGATATTAATAATCAACATAGCTGCACTGCAACCGATTTTGCACAACATAATTGTATGTGTGTATAATATATAAATACAATCTCTCTCTTAAAATTCACACATTTGTAAATAAATCTCTCAGCATCAAACATTCTTTAATTCATTTCAACAATTTTCGAGCCGCGCTTTTCTCTTCCTTCTATTTCCTGATCGGTCTTAACGTTGGGCTTTCTCTTATTTTCTTTTTTCATCCGCACGCAACCACGCTACGAGAAAGCCTTGTAGTGGATGAAGAAGAAAATCAGAAACATGAAGAAGGCTACTGGAAATACTACTCTTGAAATCACATCAATTGTCTTCGCAACACGTATTGGATGTGACGGCTCCTTTTTGCGCACCTGCAATTCAAAGAGAGATGGCTCTAGTCAGTGGTTTGCAATGAATTTTTATCAGAAAACATCAATAGCAGGAAATAATAATATGACTTTGAAAAATTTTAACCTTTCTTTAATATATTAGTAATGTTAACCTGATTCGTTTGGTTTAAATATTCATTTTGATAATGAAGTTCATGTCGGTAGAAAATTTCACCTCATATGGATGAGAACAATAAAAAATGCACACTTATTTTTTTTATACAGTTAACACACTGATGATGCACACTAAACATTTCCCATCCACACATGCATGACATGCTCGTCGCCACTGATATTGAAAGGGTTGTTCTGCACTAAGTTAGCGAGAGTGCTCTTGGGTGGGGTGCAAACATTCTCTACGTCTAATGATAGAGTCGGAGAGTGTGAGAGAGTTTCAAATTCTAAGCTGCAGTTCTGTATATCAAAGTGGAATGTAACAGATCAATTGTTTACTGATCAACAAGTGGGATTAATCTGTTGATTGTCATTGTTTTACTTGAAAATCAATGAAGCTAGTAAATTTCTAGCAATATTATGCATCATTTCAAATATTTGTGCGAGAAAATGAGATCGAAGGTTCATTTTTTTATCAAATGAGCAATTTGGTGAATATTTTTCTGTGTTTTGAGAATTAAAAACCCAAAGAAACCACTCAGAACGGGAAATAATTTAAATTAGTACTTTTGACTAAACACCTTTTACGTCGTAATTCCACGTAAAAGGTGTTTAGTCAAAAGTACTAATTTAAATTTTTCTGTGTATTGCTAAAATAGCCAAAAACAAATGTTCTTCGTTTAATTTTCATTACGATTGATGATTAATAGGCGCATAAAATGAATGCAGTTATTAAAAAATGACGTGTATATTTTGAAACTAGTTATCGCCGAATAAAATGATATGCAGTACATGTCAATAATCAGTTATAGTGCAGGTTTTTATCCTGTTATAGTATGATAGTTGCTTTAATAACTCTTATCTAGGATGCTCCGGTAAGTGATCTACATTATTTCCTAGAATGATTAAAATTTTCAATAACTGTAAAAAAAAGTCATCACAATTTATGATTGAGCGTCTGGAGAGAAACACTCCAATTAAAGTTAATTGCAAACAAAAATCGTGGTTGTGTATCTTGTTGGTATGCCCTAATTAATATGTAACACAGATTGAAACTACATGATATGTCGTGTTACATTAACATGCTTGGCTATAATATTGTAATATTAGAAACACCAAAAACTCCGCGCATCAAAACTCCAAACTCAATAGACGCTCTTTCAAATTAGGCGCGCGCCACAAAGTAAAACTTATGCAAACTCCAAAAACACGAATTTAACTTGCAAGTCACTTTGCATATTAAAGAGAATTTAAAAACGATTTTAAATATAACATTTTGCACGAAATGATTTATACAAATTTTTTAAAAAACATATATTTTTTCATAACAAATTATTTTTTTATAATTTTTGTAAACTGCATTTTTTTTAAATCTCCGAGTTTGAATAATTTTATGTGACTTGCAAAATTCACGGATAAAACGGGTGTATAGACGAGGCAGGTCCGCGCATTGGGGAGCATGTCACCGTTGTTGTTTCTAGACACCAAACCAACCAACCAACCAACCATAGGGCCAAAGGGGTGTACCTCAGAGATGCTGCCATGGCATCCATTATTGGCCGGATGTGTGCAAGGGTCAGTTCCTCCGCCGCAGTTGGTGCACGCCACGATGTCGTTAGGGCCTGCCGTGGTGACTGTACTGCCGTGGCCCATGGGTGACGAGAGTTCAACGCCCCCAGCGCCGCCCTTCTTGTTGGCCTCGGTGCCCTGGCAAAGTACACACAACGATCAACATCCCCAGGCCACGTGGACGGGGTAGTCAGTCACCACAGCAGGGAGAGTAGTGAACGAATTAATTTTTTTATAAAGAAATTTTGGCAAAAATGTAAACTTTTTTTGATCAGCATAGTCATGATCGATTTTGGTTTTATTCAAAGAGGATTTAGAAATATATAGAGGAGAATTAGTTTCCGTGAACAGATTATCATCATACGCCAAAGGAGAGCAGAGAGAGGTATAAACAGAACAATATGTATGAGACAGTGTGAGAGGCAACAGACAGAAATAGAGAGGCGCAAACAGTGCTGTAGTATTGAGAGTAATTGAAAATAATTATAATTCTCACGGTCCACAAAGGCTTCAATGCTTGGTGAGTTAGAGAAAATTTTGCAGTGGATTAAACATCCTGAAGAAGACGTTTATTTTGGTTAAAAAAAAGCCAATCAGATATGTTTAGAAAAATAATTAGTGAAATTAGTACAAATTTGTCAATTAATGAATAATTTTGCAAGTGAATTAATTAAATTTCAGTTGGAATCGATGATTAAATATTTTGATAGTTGAAAATATTAATATATTATATAATTTTGTAATTTAATTTTACGAAAAAAAAATAATTATAGTATTTTTCGTCACTCTGCGCAGATTCAGGAGGTTATGTTGAGAAATTGAATTTCTTGAAGATTCAGTGCAAGGAGAATAATCAATAAATAAGAGTGAAAGTTTCGATCTGTTATTTACATACACGCTGGTGCTTACCTCCAACTACGAGCCAGAATTCGATACAAAGAAATAATATAATAGAAAAAATTTTGAAACAATCACAAAAAATGTCCGAAAAATACAGAACAGTTAAATGCAAAAAAGAGGGGCAGGATTTTCATCATTAAACTACATAATTAAGTAGAAGAGGATTGAAGTGTGCACTAATTTTAATATATTTAATAATGACTCATATTTTTTTTCCTAATTAAACACTACAGCAACGTCTGCTTCCCTACAACGATTTTAAAAAGTCTGATTATGAGTATTTGTCCATTTGGTGTATGATAATAGCTGCTCTAATTTTCTACTCTAGTAATGTTTTGGACTCTTTTCATTTTATAAATTTCAAAGCCATCAATCAAAGTTTGCCAATTAGTTAATGAAGAGAATCCACCATTCTATTTCAATCTTTCGGAAGTAATAATAAATAAGAATATCAATAAAAATAATGTGCAGTATGGTTGATATTAATTGAGCAATTTTGGGGAACGCCCAGGAACCAACCGCGAAATTGGATCAGGGGCGTTCACTCAAAAATTGATTGAGATAATTAACAGTAACGGTGAGCAAGCGCGACCTAAAGTTGAGGGATTAAAATAATTAAATTGCTTCTGGCATTGTTTGATCACTATGTAAATGAAAAACGTCCTAAATTATCAATCAGTCGTGTGTGGCTGCTGAGCAGACACCAAGGGCCAATTACCTGGTTTTGCCTTATTCTCACCCGGTTTTCGAACTTCTCAATTTCAGAGTATAGAACCATTCATGTACAATAAGGGATTCGCATGATACTCAATATGTATATAGAGATATAATAATCAAAATTTGAAAAAAGAAAGAAAAGTAAATATTCAAATCAATATAAGTAGAGAGATAGATCACAAAGACGAACGAACGAACGTTTCCAATTCAAACATGAAAATAATGAATATAATAATATTGATATAATTTTGAAAAAACGAGACGAACAGCAGGCATTCAAGATTATATTATTTTTGTCAATATAATCCACAGGTTTGTTTAAAAAACGCAAACGTGAAAATAAAAATTGGTGAAGTCAGTTTTGGAAAAAAAATTTGCTCTCAGCGGCACTTTTGTATTCGAATGAAAATCAATTTGTATATAAAAAGGTAAGTGACCCCTGTTGCAATTATTTGTGTAAAAAAGAAGCGCCGCCTAAGTAGCAGTAAGGGGTCTAAAGCTCAGCATTCGCACACCAACAACAATAACAACAACAGCTCCCAAAATTAATTACAAAATACGCTACTAGGGCAGGCTCGTCTAAAGGTCTACGCTTAACATAATACACATCTAGATAGGAGACAATTAAATGTTAATGCGTACACTACTTACCCAACAGCCGCGAGTTTTGAGTGGAATTTCATTCGGCTTTGAGAGTATGTGGGAGACTTAAATAATGTACAGCACGCTAGAAAGGCAGAGATGGTAAGAGCGGAGAGAGAATACTCAGTTTTGCTCCAAGAGACAAATAAAAATCGAAGAGAGAAAGGTGTACGAAGAGACGGAGGGCACGCGTGTTCATACAAATGTACTCGCAAAGGTTTGCATTTGAAAGGAGACACAGAGAGAGAGGCAAAGGGTAATTGTGTGCTCGGGGCACTTTTTAAAGAACAAAGATGAATGTCTGAAAAACAAAGCAGCCGCGGGATTGAATTTTATAATAAAAGAAGTTCCAAAAAAATATAAAAAACTAGCCATTTATAACATAATAAATGAAATATAAAAAATTTGTATCACAAATAGATTAGAAAAAAAATACTATTTGAATTTTTAGTTTAATAACCTAAAATTGATTCTTGAAATTTGATCCCCCTTAAATTGTCAGACTAAAATCAAAATTTTCTTGTTTTTTCCCCAAAATATTATTCGAATTATAAAATTTGAAGTAGTTTTTTCTTAATCAGAGAGTATTTATAAGATACCTAAAATTTTTAGATATCCCCAATTTTTTAGTTGTCTGTAGAAATAAAAAAATATATTTGACTCATCGAAAACACTTTTTAAATTTTTTCTTAAAACAACCTGACTTATGAATATGACTTTTGCAACTAAAATTTTAGCTAGAGGTTGTGACATTTTTTGAATTATGGATTCGAGCTTTCATGTCTTGGAAGCCTGTTCTGAACAACTGAAAGTAAGGAAAAAATTGGAGATTTTTTTTTATTATATTAAGTAACCATTATTTACAGCTGCTTTCTTCATAAAACCAAGTGTCTGGGAAAAAAAGGAATAAGGAAATTTTACTTTCCTGTCAACAGGAGAACTCGCTATAGGATTGATATTGGATTTTTCTTCGTGAGAAAGAGTGAATAATTTTCTGTGAGTGTGAAACAGCAAAAGTACGATAGTTCAGTGGTAGGGCTTGAAGAGTATGCAGCAAAGTAGCAGAAGCGTCTTACCTTTCAGCGAACTCTCATTTAGAAATTATTTGCATATTTTACCTCCGCGTGTCAGTTAAATTTAAAGCTTTAGATTTTTACACAAAAAGAGTAGCGCTGGTTTATACAGAGCGAGATATTTTAAACGACCACATTGTAGCCTTAATTATGTGTGTAGCAAAAGGTGCTGTTATTGAAAATCTATTGTATAATAGATTCCATTTGACACAAAATATAAATATTACAACAACAACAATGGACACAAAGGAGGATGCCATGCGACATGCTTAACTGTACCTGCCTTACCAACGGGCTGGCCAAAATAATGCCAATTCTGTTGAGAACGGCGGGAAGTCTCTGAAAACAATAGACATTTGCACACGGGCTCTATTCTTAAAAAATCAAAACTTATCAGAGAGAATAAAAACAGAAAATAAATATGAGATCTAAATTAAAAACGGAATATATCATTTAACATGAGCTTTAGCAGGGGGAGGAGGATTCAGATCAGAATCAGCAAGAGAGAAAGTAGTTTGAATAGGGGGCACGATGCGTCTGGTTTTGCACCTGGAGCAGAGGTGGAAAACACATCATGCGGTTTTATTCGGAATTAATAGAGAAACAAACGTTTCAAAATTGGTATAGAATTTTATATGATTCTGATAATGTGATATTTGATTGCAACCTTTTTTCGATTTTGTCACATTTTGTGTATGTGTGTCAATTTGTGATATTTGGTGGATTTAGCAATATTAAGAGAAATTAAATAACATAATTTGCGATAGTTGTCAACGAGTTCAGCAAAAAATGATTTTGCCAAAGCAGAAAGCGAAAATGAAATCAGCTTTGGAAAACACAACAAAAAATTCACTGTAGCACTCTTTGATTATGAGAAAAAAAATAATAAAACAGTTGCGAAAAATCGACCATTCAAAAAGCTAGCTTTCACTTCGGCATTGGAAAACATGTAACTAAAATGAGAGATAAACAAACAAAATTTGAAGGAAAAAAATGAATTTGCTCGTGTTTTTGTGGTACACTTTTAACGCGTTCATTGTGCACGAATATACGCCTGATCGAATGGACAATAAAAACTGCACGTATAATAGTGATAGAGGTGGGTGTGATTTTACCTAAAGTTGAGTTTTTTGTGGTTAGTTAAGATGGCAAACAATATGGATGATAAAATCACTGCACATCAATGATAATTATTATTATACAAAATTGAGTAAGAAGTAGTGCTACTTTTATATAATTATTATACAGCTGATCCAGGGTATAACGATTAATTACAAAATGGAATTGTGTCAATGGCAGGCATTCAATTTTGACCGTGAGTGTTGTGAGATTGACATAAATAATTATTTATATATGATCTACTGCTAAAAAAACTTGTCGTAAATTGGAAATAACTCTAAATTTTGGGGCTTTTAATAGATAAAATAAAATATTGGATATATTTGGCAGGGGATCGCAGTCACGTTTTTGTGTTTGTAACAGAGTTTCTGAGCACAAAATTTTTCAGGTGCTCAAATTAATTTGCTCCTGCTCCTGCTCACTTCTAAAGTGCTCCCTAATTTCTGCTCCTGCTCCTGCTCACCTCAGGAGTGCTCACCTACATCTGCTCGCGAGCATGCTCCCTCTTGGGGTGCTCGCGAGCAGATGCTCGTGAGCATGCTCACTGAAGGAGTGCTCAATGCTGCTCCGAGCAAATTTTGCTCCTGCGATTTGCTCCCGAGCAGTGTCATGCTCATGTTTGATATGAAAATTCGGCATGTAGGTTTTTAATTAATTCTGAAAGAATATTTATTAAGCCGATATAATTTAGCAAAAGTCAAAGACATCAATTTGATACCAAATTAAGACCATATATGAAAAATTTAATATAAATTAAAATAATAAAATTGTTCCCATAAAATGATTTAATTATTATTTAAAAAGACGAATTGTTGCCAGGAGCACATAAATATGAAGCAGGAGATTGAGTTCTTTTTAAATTATGTACAGCGGAAAAGACACAAGAGGACTGAAGGTTTGCCAGGAGCACATAAGGTGCAGCAGGTTGAACTCAGGGCTGAAAGGGGTGTAGGCGGAGCGTCAGAGCATAGGGATAATGCATTGCGATTATAAAGCGTCCTCCACTGGTTTTTGTTGATCTCACAGTGTAGAGTATAGATTTAGTATGAAATTCTGTTATTGTAGTTAAAATTTTTAAAGCAAATGTGAGCAGAAGGAGCATCTCGAGCATATTTAGTAAATTTTGCTCCTGCTCCGGCTCACCTCTAAAAAGTGCTCCCTATTTTCTGCTCCTGCTCCTGCTCACCTCAGGAGTGCTCCCCTACATCTGCTCGCGAGCATGCTCCCTTTTGGGGTGCTCGCAAGCATTTGCTCGCGAGCATGCTCACTACAGGAGTGCTCAATGGTGCTCGCGAGCAAAATTTTGCTCAATCTTGCTCGCGAGCAGCTCATGCTCAGAAACCCTGGTTTGTAACGTTTAAATCTACATGCGTTGCAAACAAATTTGCTTGTTATTTACTTTTGATATAAATGTAGATCATTAATTTCTTCGTCAAAGTATGGTACAACTGTATAAAGACCAACAATTACTTATTTAACCCCATAATCTTTTGAAATGATATACATAGGAACTAAAAAGAAGTTGCCGTTATTTAATTCTATAATTATATATGATATTGGGCATATTGACATTAATTAAATTTAAATACTTTATTAGGTAAATAGTTTGTCTATAATAATAAATTTAATCATGTAAATGAATTTTGTATTATTGTAATAAAGAACTGCAAGTGGATTTTTTTGAAAACATTTTTATGCATGTTTAAAAAATTGTTTATAAAGTAAATTAATTTTTAAAAATATTTTGCACATTGTAATCAAATTTTAATCAAAATTTATAAAACGGTTTTTTCCGTTTGATTTAGACAGTTTTACATTGATTAAAAGGTAAATAGCGCAAAAAATGTTTCTTTATCCTAATATAATTATGTATTATAATAATAATATTTTGATTTCTTTTTAAACATTTTAAAATCCTTTATCTTGCAACTGGGATCCCCTGCCGCACTAAAAATTGACTCTAAACGCTCGCTCAATATTGTACTTGTCCTGAGAGATTGAATGGCAGATTGAATAAACAACATGCTGGGTCCCGGAGATAGGGACAATACCTGCGCGACGGGGTTCTCGCCCGGCCGGTAGACGACGTTGTGCTGAGGCCTCTTGCGCCCCACGTAGTTGACGCACACAAACTCGAGCAGACTGGCGTAGATGAAGCACATGCACACGCCGTCCCACACGTTCATGGCCGTCAGGTTGGACACGACCGGCAGCGTGGACCGGAAACCGTTCGACGTCGTGAAAAAGTTCAACATGGTCGTCACACCGATCATGACGCGCGCGGGCACTGCGTTCCACTCGAGCCAAAAGGTGATGAACGAGCTGGTCACCAGGATGATGCCTGGGATGAAGACCGTCGTGAAGTAGAACGCCCGGTCCCGCGTGAAGATCAACTCCACGCGCAAGCAACTGTAATTTCCTATGAGCAAATTACAAAAACAAATAAGTCAAATTCAAGTAATGCAATGAGCAAAAAAGCAAGTATATAATTTTAATAACAATATATAATTCCGTTAAAACATAAAATTCCTAAACATTTTATAAAACTAGAATTTCAAATTCTTAGTTTTTCAGTTACAAATCACATTTTGTGGTGCAAACTTAAAAATTTATCTTTATTTTCAAACATATATAAAAAGATTTTGGGGTAACAAATTTAAAAAAATTAAATTTTTTCCTATTAATCTTGCGAAAAAAATTTAATATTAATTTACATGTAATTTTTACTCCTTTATATATAAAAGTTTTGAAAAAATTTAAACGGTTTGAATTCATTAAAATTGAAAAAAAAAAACTCGTGCAGAATTACAAAATAGGAAATTACCTCGCCAACTGGACTTTGTGTTGCAGGCCTGCGTGGCGTTTTTAATTAGGTATGCGTTGAGCGTCTTGAGACTGGGCGATTTACGAAGGGTGCCTTCGTCGTACTTCCACACGTACTTGACGGCCGTCTGTTCGTACGAGACTGCGGAAGGACTAATTAGTTGGAGTTGTGCCCGACGTGAGACTGGAGACGGATGCGATTCGCTCTGCCGCTCACTCTCTCACTCGCATTAAAAAAAAACTCTGTATTGATTGGCATTTGAGACAAGCTGTCTGTATGTTTTTCCTCGCAAGGGTCAGCCGAGATTTGGCGATATCTTTCTCAGACAACCGGTGCCGAAGACTTTGATTGGTTTTTGTTTAATATATGGATCAATAATATATATTTTTTTTTAATTTTTATATATATTAAAATTATTAATTATTTCATTTCGCAAGTCGCTAACTTGAAATATTAATTATATAATTAAAAAATAACCTCAATTTATATATTATAAATATATTATTCAAGTCACGAACAATAAAAAAGAAATGTTTAAACGTAAATATATTGTGATTAGAAGAAAAGCAATACAATGCAATAGTTTAGGAAATAATAATTCGTTTTTAACAAAAAGATCCATTATGTTTGAACAGACTGCAATTATTCAGGTGGGAAATAAAGCAATTCGTTGCCAAGCTAATCCCATTAATTTATCCACGAATGACGCCAGCAATAAAAAGTTATCACCCGGAAAATTCACAACTTCGGACTGCAATAATTGCAGTACAACCGCCCGTTGCAGTGCAAATAAATCACAATGCCGGAGCACACGACTATCTGCATTGCAAAATGAATTAAAAGCGACTGCAATTCGAATGCATATGCAACCGGGCGCACACAAAGAACGTGCCGGTTGCATAACGATGCATTAATCGCCTGGTAGGTCGCTTTTGCTGAAGTGCCGCGAATCACGGAACGGTTCCTCCAAGGCACGACCCTGCCCAGGGGGTCGCATGCATTTACATGTATGTAATCCTCGCGGATTAAACAGGGCCTTTGATCAAACAAGCATTTAGAAAACTTCAAACAACTCTCGGCGGATCCCATTTGACATATATTCAGCGTGTCCTCCTTTTTCTTTTTGCTTCTCCTTTCCGGCGCAGCTGGGCCATTAATTGCCCGTTTTGTCTCTTGAAGAGGAAGCAATTGCTCCTCTCTCTGTGTATCTGTGTTTGATTGATTGCCCTTCAAAATCCAACTCGAGCCGGCGGACAAATGACACGGCGTAATTAGATTTTCATGAGTTTTCTTTCTTCTCTTCTATTCCCGGCGGCTTTGTTTTTCCCGGACCGAAAATAGAGTTGGCGCGGCTCTAATTTTGGTTTGTGGCCGCGTGTTGCCACAGCAAAATCAATGTGTTTGCATTACTACCCTGTTTGTGTGTACAGAGTGACGCAACCGCACCGTACATGTGCAACGAAATAAAAGTGGGAGCGTCTTATTGTTTGTTTTATCGAGCACTGTGCGTTACAAACTCCTCTAGCAACGACGAATGCGTACTTGAGAATAGTTTTGAGTGGTCGTATTTTTTAGTGGGCAGCAATATTGACCAAGAATTTTTATGAAGGATGAATAAAATATGTTATTTCTTCTTTACTCTTCACACAGCAAAAAAGGTCTTTTTAAGTTGCTGTTTTAAATGTTTGTCTGTTTTTACTGTAAAAAGTAAGGTTGGGAACCAAACAAATCAGAACATTAAAAAAAAAATACGAAATAAAAATGAAATATCTAGTGACATCCTCTTAAAAAAAGTAAAAATGAGCTACTTTTAGGCTATGATGCTGCATAGAAATGAGTGAAAACTACAATTTATCTATTTTGTGTGCGGTGTATTATTTTGAAGTTGTTAAAGAGCTGCACTGGCAAAAAATGATAGATTTAAAGGATTTCTCAATTTTTCTTGTTTACAGAACCAAGAAAAGTCATCATTAAAATCATCCTAAATAGACTGATTCTGCAAGAAAAATGCCTAAAAATAATTAAACAATTACTAGATTTGCCTCTCAATCCATCTAATTTTTCCATTTTAAATTGCACCAGTAAATTTACATTTTCAGCCTTTTGATAGGCAGAGAAGACAAAACGAGTGGAACACTTGACCCAAATTTTCTGCGGCTAACAAAATTGCAGCTGCATGTCTTGGACCGTGACCGGCGGCCTTTCTGGCTGCTTAGGCCGCATCAACTGCAGGCCGTGTGTAATTAAGTTATTTGGGATATCACGAGAGGCCCTTTTGCTTTTCTTCGGCGAATGAGAGTGAGCGAGACGAAGGAAGGAAGGAAGAGACACGCGCGCATATTCACTTACTGCTCTCCATGGCGAAGGAGCAGAGAGGATCGTCAAAGGGGAAGATGTTCAGGCTTCCTTGGCAGGACAAAATGAGATGCCTCCTGCAACATACAACAACATTATTTCAAGCGGTGCAGAGAGGTAGGTAGGCCGAGTTAATAGCATGATGATCGAAACGCGCGGCTGACGGAAATTGCGAGCGGCACACATGCATAATTTAGGCAAGATGTATATATACACCTGCCAGGGGTCGCATTATAATTATGTTGTTTACTTTCGACACCGGGAGTCGCATGTCTTATTAATTAGGATGCAGCGTCGTCATCATCACACGGAATGCCAAATGTGGCAGAAGAAATCAAAGGACACGCCGAGAGTAATTTGTTTTTTCTTAATTTAGATCCGAGATAGGGAAGTGCTTTTGTAATTTAATGAGGTGTGCAGGAATAGAGCAGCTATAACCGGCAGCGGCAGATCATGAAATAATAATTTGGAACAAAAATGGCTCAACGTGTAATCCTGCATAAAAAGAAAAAAAGATCAAAACTAAAATTAGCAATAAATTGCCTATTTGAATTTTACTTTCCTATATTTTTGATCAAAAAATAACGTTCCAAAATGAGACTGGCGGCCCAGTTCAAAACTAGACCCACAGAAATAGTTAAAAAATAAGCTCATTTTATAGCTTGCAGGTTATTGTTCTGAATGTGAAATATTTTAATTATTTGTGCCTAATTGTCATAAATTTTCCTCCTAAATATTGAAAATTATTGTAAAAGAACACGCATTTTTCAATCATTGAAGCAATATCATGTAGATTCAAAATTTTTCTTCCGTTTGATCCATATTTTCTTAAATTAATCAGTACCATTTCAGTTATTTTCCAGGCGAATTATCAATACCTTTTCAAAGCCTTCATGTCATAATTTTCACTTTAATGAATATTCCTTCAAAATATTTATTTGGAAAATTAAATAATAGTGAATAAAGTTCTTCAATTCTGCTATTTATATATTATTACTGAATCAATTAATCATTCTTAATACATTATGCACTGCCGTTTACTGTGAGAATTTCATGCATCAAAAAGAGAGAAAAATACAAGGATATTCGTGCATTGATATGCTGTGAAATCGCTCCCTTTAAATCCTACCCTCTCACGCAATATTAAAACTCACTCTGAATTTTGCAAAAGTTTATTTGGAATAAAACTTTGACATCCTGTGCACGCAAGTGGCGCATCCGGCACGAAATGCGTGTGAAACTTTTAATCTTGCAGTATAATCCAAAACTTTTGGAAAGCGTTTATTTTTTTTTCGGGCGAAAGCCCTTGACGCTCAAGCGCATCATCTTCTTTACCAGCATTGGAGGCTGCGAAAAAGGACGAGGCAATTTGCGGAATCCCGAGGCTGCACAATTTATCATCGCATGCCCCGCAGTGAGAAAAGCGGGCGATATTTGCTTTGTGAGCGAACGATTCGCCGAGGCCAATATGAACGCAAGTTGCACCTCGGGGAATAATTTGCCTGCGTACTACGACGGTGTACCCAAATAAATTTCGCCTCTCAATGCGGACCGACCGCCTCCTCCTGCGGCGTGTCGACCCGCATTTGCCTTGCGCTCGACCCATGATAAGAGGACACATGACTATGGCATGCAGCCGCACAACGCTGATTGCAAGCAGTTGAAACTTTGCATTATGAGTTAATGCGAAATAACAGGCACTCAGGTCTTTCCCAGATAGCAGCGGGATATTTTACTGCTCAAAATGTTGGTTATATTAATGAAGGACCAGCAAGATTTAATCTAAGTAAAAAAAATTATTTATTTTAAATGAAAACCTGCGCCTTGTAAAATTTGAATTTTTCAAAATTTAATTTACTGACATTACTTTTACTAAGCTATACTTAAAATTATCGTTTTAAGCTTCTCTTTTACCTTGATAGTAATATTTTGTTTTGATTTACTGCTTGAAGAGGGGATTGTGGTTAATTCTATGTGATGTCCAAATTTTTAACTTTAACTTCAATTAATTATATTATAAAATATGGAAGAGTAATGCATTAATTGATACGGTCGAATTTTTAAGTAAACACATTTAATATATATAATAATGTATAACCTAAATAGCCTCCAAGAAACCAACTCAAAATGAATTATTTCATTCCAACATTTAATGGAAGATGAGTACTTCAGTTAGAATTTATAAACATTATCAGAATGTTATTGCATTATAATTTTAAGCGTTCATTATTTTTTTTAATATATTAATATTAACATCTAGCATATTAAAGCAAAAAAATTCTAAAATTTTATATCAATAAAAAAATTGTTAAAAATTTTATAGCTAAAATTACTAACTATACTATTTCATTATTATTATTAAATTATTTATATTTTTTAGTTAACACTTACCTCATTAAGTAATTTACAGTTCCGTTGCGAAATATGCGTAGCGCAAAGTGGACAGGTATGAGTGGATCCTTGAAATCGCCATGCATGATGAAGTACGTGTCCGGCAACCAGACGTCATTGTGGTGGTGGATCGCGTTCAAAAACTCGTACCGACTAGCGTTCGAGTATTGAAGCCGCGGGTCGTGCCATTGTTGCTGTAGTAAAAATTCAACTTCATATTTCTGAAAAAAAAGACAAAATTACACAGACATTCATATTTATGGGATGAGATTATAAACCTATTCCTTTAAGAATAATGGAAATAATATATTTTATTGGACTAACAATAAAAGCAATTATAATTTATGTACTTAAAATAAATTATTAAGAAGATAAAATAAATTTAAAGCCCAACTTTTTTATTTTTGAAACAATAAAATTGCATCGCCTGCATCGGATGTGTGTTGATTAAAAAGTTTGTTTGATTATGCTTGGCAATTGAATAAGAAAGGCATAAAACCGTTTCAAATAAATTTTTTAGAATGGCACGAAAGTTCTTGCTTTTAAATATCACAATTTGCAGTATTCCAGGCACGTGTGAACCTATCAGCAAAGTTTGGAGTGAAACACAATATAAGAAATAAAAAGGCCTTGCGATCAATGCCGCGAAACAAAGGGGTCAAACGGGCGGCAGCGGCAATGTTGAGCTCGAAAACTGCGGTCGCAAGAGAGTTGCTTGTCGAAAAAAATAAAAGGCGCAAAGCAAAGCAAAGAGCAGCCTTGTGTTCTGCACAAATGGATAATGGAAACTCACCAAACTGGACTCGTCTGGAGAGGCGAGGCTGAGCAGAAGCACACTCATGTTGACTGTGAGTGTACCTGCAACAGACGAGATAAGGTTGTTAGTGTGTGTAGGTAGGTGATGTGTGTGCGCATTTAGTTTATCCCTTGGTTCATTTATGCATTGCTTAAAGCTCGGCCCGTCAGTCACATCGTTGAGCTGCTAATGGTTCTCGTCGACAGCAAATTTTGGTGATGACAGCAGGTGCCCTCCCTACCCTACCCAACGCAAGGCATTTGCATAATCACGTGGGCCGACGCTAATTATTTCAAATGGGTTTTGCTTGCGCAGATTTGTCACGATGACGGATCATAACATGCGACATTGACATCATTATTAACTACTACAAGGGTAATTCGAATAAACCTGATAACTGAAGCTGCTTTGGGCCTAAATCAGTCTGACTAGGCAAATTTTTGGATAGATTTGTCATAGTAATTTATTATTTTAGTAGAAGTGAAAAGTTTCAAATAATTTCACAAGATAATTACAATCGATGAAAACTGCACAAATGGGTATATTCAGGTAGAAAAGATTCCAAATTAATTTGTTTTATGCATTTTTTATTAAAAAAAAAGGATGGCGCTGAGATCAAATGTGACTTTTACAGTTTAATATCATCCTTTTGAATGATCGTTTAATTGAAGATGCAACAATGAAGTAGTTGCTCAATGTGAAAATTAAGGACTTGAAATTTTTTAGTTATCAATAAAAGTAAAAAGAAGAAGAAAGAATCTGCCCATTTTCGAAGAACAAATTTACTTTTACACGCTTAAATATTGCTTTTAGTTCAAAATAATAGTCATTAAAAATGTGCATTGTCTGTTTATTTGTAATTCTCTTAATGAAAATAACGAGCAGCAAGCAAAAGTCCATTCATGCCTCTGACTAGCGAGCAATCGTAAAAGTATCACGGCCTGAGGGGGTGCTTGTGTGAAGCTTGAATAACTGTTGGCGAGAGGGTCGTTCTTCGAGAGCCGCAAGGACGGCGAAACAAACAATTTCATCTCGGCAGTCGGTTGATGCGGTCTGGTCGGGATGGTCCATTCGGAAAGGCAGAGCAACAATCGCATCTCCACGCAGATCAATGATGCCAAACAATAATCGAGAAAGCCAAAGACAAGCGATGCGGAAAAGCGAAAACTGGCCTGTCGACCGCTCTTTATTTTGCAAGCGGAGAAAAGAAAAGGAAAAAAATGCTCAGTGACTTGAAAAATTACGGTCTCCCTAAAGGAATGAATATTTTGGTGGAGGGAGCGAAGAACCCTTTTCTCTTGTAAATAAGTCGGCAAGGGTTTAAATAGAAGGCGGGTCTAGCTGTCCACATCTTTCTTTCTCCTCGCTACTTTTTGTTTCGCCCGAGAGCCAAATGAATGCGTCTTACTTGCTTTTTACGGCTCTTCTTTCAGGGGTGCCGACCGACCCTTGCTTGGGGGCAAAACCAACAGAGAAGAAGTGTGTCAACGGACCGACCCCTAAAGGATTATTTTCACGCTCTATGGGCTGAGAGTCGCGTCGTCGGGCGATATTCTTACGTGTTTACTACCGTTAAAGATGAGAATTTGTAACTTAAGTGAAATACAATCCTGCATCTCTATGTAACACGGATAAATTAATAATTGCAACAAATTTTCAATTTTATTTTTGCTTATTATTTGGCGGGTAACAAAAGGCTTTACAAAAACAACTTCTTGTTTTTTTTATCTTCCTTTTTAAAATTTCTAGTGTTTTTTTTTATTTTTTTCCCCACCCCATACGCTAAAAATCATGTTTTTATTGAATTTATGTTGCTGTGTGATAAAAACAAATTGCCAATTTGAAAACTAGCTAACACTAGGTTCATAATCACCAATAACATTCATGAGCGCCCCTTAACGAGTGGATCCATTGCTCGTGGTCGTCGAGCTTTACGACTGCCGTGGCTAATCGAAAGTCGATGAAAGAAAATCTGTTTCAACTCGAGCGGAACGAGCAAGATGTCTCTCTTGCGGTTCAATGTACATAATCTGTCACGGTCTTAACTTTATTAGCATGATTAATGCGATCCATCAGACTTAATCAATCTCCGAGTCGCGTTCACCGTCTGGAATAATGGCGCAACCCTTTCTTACCACCTGATAGGACTTGATGAAGGGGATTAGATGGTAGAATAAAAGAGAGAATGATTGAATTTTTGAAAGGAAATAATGCGAATTGAATTAAGAGCAGCGCATTGAGTTTATTTCCGCTACACTGCGTCTTTTAAAATGAATTGTTCTTATTTGTCATTAATATCAATCAATTTCCCGCTAAACTATTTTATTCTCTCAATTCATTAAACACAAGAAATTTTGAAACATAAATAATACTACTTGGAAGATAATCAAAATAAATATAATTTTAAATTATGGACGCTTATAATTAATTTCATCTAGTATATTTAAATTTGATACCACCTCAAAAACTATTTTGGTTCATTACTTATAATTTTATCTCTAGGCTCCCTGAGATTTTAAATATCTGAAAAGTATAGTTTTAGTCATTCAGACAGAAGCTGAACTCAAAAAAGGCGATTTATTTAGTTGAATTTGATTTTTTAAAGGAGTGTGCAATAAATTTTTGCGTTTTAAAAGTTATTTCCCATTTCTTGTGTTATTTACATTGAAAATATTTATGCATTTGCAATACAAATATAAGCAAGTATCTATCAATAAATGACTTCAAGATTTAATAGTAAATCTTTTAAATAGGCTAAAATTTTAATTAAATTATGTGGAAAAACCAGGCTTGTATATTTTAAAAGGAAGCACGTTGGCGAACAAAAGAGCCACTTTTCGCTATGCAAATGAAATCTGTTCACACTCGACCGTACGATTAAAGCAAAGCCAGGCCATGCATAGTCAACGAGAGGAAGGTTTTCAGTACAAAATGGTAATGCCCGAAACACGACCGGCTTTCAACGTGGCTCATTATTCAGGTTAAATCGACCTTTGCCCCTGGAGGCCCTCGCGAAGGAAGTTCATCCGCTATCGATTTTTCTATAAAAACCGCGTGCAAACGTCCGACGGTGGCAATTCGCAGACTGGGAGCAACGATAAATTTGCAAAAGTAAAACCCACCTGGTACCGGTGGCAGCAGTCGTTTGTCATACCGCTCCTTCTGAAGCAGCTGGTCCAAAATTTCTTTGTCCGATTTGCCTTCTTGGAATCTGGAATGATCAAAGAACAGCTTTTTGTCAAATGCGTTCTCAGACTCGGAGAGTTTGATGAGGACAATCACAAACAAAAAGATTAAAAATACCTAAAGAGGAGAGGAAAGTTTTCTGCCAACTTTCTCAATCTTCCTGGGTTTTAATGATTGAGACTTTTTAATCAAATGCTGCAAGTTCCCTATATTTTTTGTTAAAAAAAATTCTAACCAAAGGAAAAGTGATATTTGCGATTTGTTTCATGTTGATTCAAAATAGCGGAGATGTATTAGATTTTTTTCTTTCAACTTCTAAATTGTTTTGGTACTTTTTTTTATACCCATTGACTAATTTTTCGACTTTTAAATGGACTTTTTACTGCACAAGTGTTAATGAATTTTATATATCACTAATTTATTGTTTCAATAAAATTTTATATAATAGTTACTTATGATTACAAAAAAAGAAGATACATTTATGCCAGTAATTATTTAAGCAAATTTTGGTACTCACATTTCAGCAGAGGTGGAAAATCCACTGACTTGCCACGCCACAAACAAAATTATTGCCGCGCGCAAAAAGACATCCCACGTGCGCGGCGGGTCGATCATCATTTTAGGGCATCTGCAAAATAAGAGCAAAGACACGGACCTTGAGTTTTCTTGCTGGATTAAAAATTGAACCACGGAAAACAAAAGTTTCTGAATTTCTGCGACTGCCAATTTTAACTATTCAGCTCTTGTGTCAATCCAAAACTTTTGTCATTGTTTCAAAACTTTGTCAATGAACTTTTTCAAGAAAAGGGGAGACTGTGACCTCAATAGCTTAAATATAAGGATGATCCTGAAACTCCTTCATTAACGTGATTAAAGAAATAATCGAGAATGCTAATTTAATTAAAATTCTTTGTATAAAATTTAAAGTATAAAATATCACAATATTATTTCATTTTGGTATATTTTTGATAATGAAATGTTTTGCAGAATTTTGAGATTCAAATTACTTTATGAAACCTTTTAATACCAGTGAAAAGATAAAACATTCATTCCATTTTTTCCTTCTTATTTTTTGTGAAAGGAAACAGCAGGACGTACAATTTCTGGGCAAATCACCTCCCTTTTAGAAACATTAAAAAACTTTCCCCCCTGTCTCATTTCTCATTTCCATGCGGATGAAATGAAGCGAAAGTCTTTTCAATTTTGACAAGCCGCTCCTTTAATTCGCATAAATCAATGAAAGTTTTTCGATTCAACTTTTTCGCCAATATTTCACGGATATATAATAGCGCACAATGCGAGATACGCTTGTCCGATTCGAAACGGTTTTGTGACGTACGTTTGAATGAGAGCTCTACAGATATGCACGCTTGGCCGCATATTATTCCTCCTGCTTTTATTCAGCTGACGGGCGATAAAAATGTATTAAAACACGATCGGAAATTTTTACAGCCGACGAATGATATTTATATATGATATTTCAATTTTTGCTGATTATTTATTGCTCGGACATTCAAAGGATGGAAAAACTTCTTTCCAGCCTGCATTGAGCATTGTCTGTGCAAAAATAATGGAGCAGCCAGCAGTTGGTGCTTCCGCGTGTAGAATATAAATTTATGGCTGTACTTTTCTTAACGACGTCTGGGACCGAACAAAACATGGGTCTGCCGACTTATTGTTAGAGCTCGTTTCGTGCACCGCACTCAATCGATTTGTCCCTACTCGCCACCCAAAACTGATTCCAGCCGCCCGATATAATTTAATTACAGGTGAGCAAACATTTCAATTGATTCGCCCTCTTTCGTAATGCGGGCAATAGGACAGGCTAACCCTGACCATTCTTTACAAAAACTTTGCCTCACTAATTAAAATAAAAATTGTTAAATTATATTACTTTAATTTTTAAAACAAATTTTGGTTTGCAACATGATTTTTATTATATTTTATTCTTATTTCATTAATATTTTAATACTTTATATAAATTTCAATTTAGAGAATAATACGATAAGCAGATCTCCATATTTAATCTGTAGTAATTTTAAATTATTTCTCTTTCAAAGTATTAAATAATATGATTTCAATCATTTCATTAATTGAAAATTAACAAATACATTTTTCCCTCTGTTTCCCTCCTGGGACTTTTTCTTAAAATTATTTGATATGTCAAGATTGATGAAGGAAAATTTTTCACAGAACGAATTTTTTGGCACAGTCAAAATCGATCGGCCACGCAAAAACTGCCAGTCCATGCTGGCAGCGGTTCAAATTTCGTTGCGCTCAACGCAGTGATTTCTTTTACCCTTGTCATGTTGGAAAGCTGCGAGCCAATTAGAGACGTGAGCAGTCAGAGGCCAGAGGCGATTAGGGGATGATATTTCTTATTTCGCAATGTACACTTGACGACAACCTAAACATATATATGCACTTTTTACTTCCGTGTTTAGCGATTTTCGGTCTGGTCGTTACTGCGGCTGGTAATTGCAAAATTACAACCAAACAGATTTTGAGGTCACAAAAAGTCGTGCAGAGTAAACTCGGACGGCAATCAGATTTTATCAGAAGGCAAAAAATAATTATTTATTTAACATCTCATGATGTCAAACAATTTGATGATTTTAATGATATGGAAATATTATGAAAAACTTTGCGTTTAAATTAATAATCTCAGAGTCGCCAAAAATCGTACAATAAGTGGTTTATTCGGGCTTTTCCTTGTTGCAAAAATTGTTTTTATGCAAAAGCAAATGTTTCTATCAGTTTTGGTCACGGTCTGCGAACCTATTTCATGAGAAAGAAAAAAAAAGCAAAATTGAAAAACAAACAATACTTTTTAACATAAAAATTAAAATCTTTAAACTAACAAATTCAGATTTTAATTTTTATGTTAAAATTTGGTGTTCTTTCAATGTTGCTGATTTTTTGTAATTTTCTTGCTCATGAAATGGGGTCGCAAACCGTATCTGAAACTGGTAGAACAATTTGTTTTTGAATAAAAACAATTTTCGCAACGAGGAAAAGTCCGATCTCTTCATTTCCATGATCATCTCCTCGAGTGTCAATTTTTGTAAAACAATAGTAAATTATTATTTATGTGATTTTCCATAATTTATAATTGATGGCAGATTCCATAAAAATAAGTTTGAAATTTATAAATATTTGACCCTGTTTATAATTTCAATTGCTTGGAATGAACCTTCCACAAATTTTCATTTAAAACATCGATAGATACAGAAACTTCTATCAAAACTTTTGATGGGTAAAAATTTTTAATTCTTTGAAATTACCTTCCAGACGATTAATATTGTAAATTGCCATAAATGGGGGGGGGGGGGAAACTGGAATAACAATGACTGTTAGTAATAAATATAAAAAAACGAAGTTGCATTGTACAGAAGTTTAAGGAGAAATGTAATGTTCTTTTAGAGTAAATTTTGTTTAGCTGTTCACATTCATTCAAATTTCAAATTGAAAATTAAAAGAGTCAAAATTCTTGAGTGTGAAATGGTTTCAATTTTAACCTGGCCTCTAGAGAAGGTGCGATGTACCATTATCGCTTACATTCTTGCATTAATGGCTCACTCCAGCTCATTCGCTCAGAATGAAACACATTTCAAGCTTAACGTGCAGCGCTACAAGTCGTTAAAATTGAACAAGTATGGAAATAAAGCGAAAAGAGGTGCTCCACCCTCTTGACGGAAGAAAATAATGATATCACGGGGGCGAAAAAACGGGGGTGCTTGGCAACGCGCACCACTCCCGCAGTGTATCTGTGAAGAGGCCCTTCAGGAGATGAGGGCACAGTTATTATCACCAGCCAGTAGAGCCTCATTCTAATTATTTGCAAAATTAGATTTAAAAATATTAATAAATACAGAAAACCAAATTCCCTATAGATTTTTTAAACTGAGTCAAAAAAATTTGAAAGCTTGAAAAAAATTGATTCAACTTGAAATTTATTTAGAGCACCTGCTGCTCACAGTTTTTATTAAGGTCGAACTAAATTTTTTTCTGATTGTTTCATGGTGACGTCATTCCGTCTGGTGTGTTGCCGCAGTCACGCCGAGGCCCAATATACCGCAGTACACCGCGCCCCCGCCCCTGGCTGGCCGGCCGGAGCACATGGGCGCAAAGTTCGCACCCCGGCGTGTGCGCGGCTTTCCTTGGACCACCAGGCAATAACGTAAACCGCCGAACCGAAACCGACTTTTTGCCTGTCGTCCGGTCTGGCCAAGCGTGCGTAATTGTATAAATTACGATGCCGAGACATGCTTGTACATATTTTGGTGTCGTACGTCGGCGGGCCTCGCAACGGTACCGAGAGAGGCGCGTTTTGCATTCGAATGGAGTCGTAAACAGCACCCCGCTCGCTCGGAATAATAAGTTTGCAAAGCGCAATTCCAATTTATGGCGGTTGAGTGAAATAGAAAAATCTTTTGGTTTTTCATTTAAATGTATTTATGTAAGAAATAAAATAAGATTATTTAAATTTTTTATTTATATTTCAATATTGTCTGGCACATTTTCATAATTTAAATAACTAATTATTTATATTTTTGCTAATATTTAAATTGTAAATTTTGGCGCAAATTTTTGGGGTTAAATATATGTGTAGAGTTGAAGCAAAAACAAAACAATGTAAGTATTTAGCTGAATCTAATTTCCAGTAGGAGTTTATAATTTTAGTAATAAGGGTATAGATTTTTAACTTTTTTTCGAGTTCTTAAAATAAGCATTAAAATTTGAATGCAAACTATTTAAGTCAAGTTGAAGCGGAATTCTAAAAGAGAAAAGTGAATTTTATAAAGAAATTTCTGAAATTTTGTTCAATATATTATAACACAATTCTATAATTGTTTCTTTAGAGCTACATTAGATCAAAATTTCTGCAATCTGCAACTCGCTGGACATCGCCGCAATCCGGCTAACCGAATTACAACTCTTTCTGCTTGCCGCATTAGTTTTCTCTCTGTTTTCTTTCGGCAGGAAGCAGCAGCGGCCACTTTGGAGCTGCCTAGACCGCGCCATGCGTCACGGCACGCCAAATTAATTTGTCACTTTGCAGACTCGTGTGGTTTGGCTGGCCAACGAAGAGAAGAAAATCTTTATACTTTCCACCCAAGTGACTTCTTGATAAAAAAAGGGTTGTTGTTCCAGACTGGAATCAGATGGGTCCCCCTTTCAGTTTCCTCCCCAGACAGACAAATTTTTTTTACCCACAAAACAACCCTTGACACGAAAAAGCGAAACAGAAATTGCAATACTTGTGAGGATACAATTCGCAAAAAAATGGACATTTTGCACACTTTTACTTTCGAAAAGGGATGAAATTTCCGGAAAGTGCATTTTGGGAGGAAACCGTGTGAATTATAGGCCAAGGCCGTTTGTCATGTGGAACGACGTCCTTCCCATCTCATGCTTCGAGACGTAATAAATGATGCACGCATGAGCATGACACTGTTGGCGGAATAAATTGGCGCCGGACTTCGCCTTGACAGTGGGCATGAAAAATGGCGCGGAATATTAGAATTGGCGCCGACTCTGCTGGCAATGATTTGTCATTTCCGCCGACGAAACAAAGCATTCCATTCGAATTAGGCGGACGGAGATGATTCTGCAGGAGGTCCTCCG